AAAAAAAAGTGAATTGAATTCTTCCTACCTGCCTATTCAAAAAAAAAAAAAAAAAAAAAATCAATTTAGCAAACTTACATAAGTGGACATGATCAAATCAAAAAGAGGATATGAGATTTATATATGCTCGAATTTTATCAGGAATTGGTGAATGGAAGAAATGGTCTTCAGCTCAAATAGAAAAAATTAAAAAATAAAAAAAAATAAAAAACCCAACCCAGAATACTCTAAACATATAAAATCTTCTAAAAAATGGACGCTATCTATTGCTATTAGTAAGAGGGGATTTTTTGATATCTTCAAAAAAAATACTAATAATATTTTAAAATCCATAAGATTCTGTTACAAGCTATGAATTGGTATGAATAATCCAGTATTGAAAAGTTTTTATTTATATATAAATAATATAAACTAATTAAATATGTAAGATTTAAGTCTCTTGAATTTAAGTATGAATAATATGAATATCACGAATATAGTAAGTTCAAGAATGCAAAGGTAATAAATATTTTATGGCATAATAATCTCATATTGACTTGATTATACTAATAATTTAGTTTGAAAATAATAGTTATCACAACGTGTTTGTATTAAAATAGGTTCTAAAATCTAATAAAAATCACAAATAGGAACTATAAAAACAAATACTTTAAAATGTGAAACATTTATTAGAAAATATGTTTTTTTACTGAAACAGCAAATTCAAATAATAAATTTCAGTTCAACAAATACATGAAGAGCTTATTCAACATGCTCAAGTCAAAAAATTAGACGAAAATGACATACTAAAAACTTCTACTATTCAGAATTGGATTACTGGATTCTTACAGAAATAAAAAGAAGTCATGGCCATGTGTGAATTAGAAGCAAGAGAAGTTGCTAGAAATGTATAGTTCAAAAAGTATAAAAATATATAAAATGTTAGTTATAATTTATTTATTTGTCAAATAGTAATAAATAATACCAGTATATGGCCTAAAATTTTTACATACGTATATACATATATCTATCAAATCTGATGCTGCTTCAAAGTAAAGTTTTGAATAAATATATAAAATCATCTATTTTTTTTATTCAAAATTATCTTTGATATATAAGATTTCATTATGTGAATTTTGATAATACAGTATGATCATTTGCGATTTTTTTAATATCACGATATTTTGCTAATTTTGTGATTTTTATAACAGTTTTGCCTTGAATTTATATAGTAACATTCTGCCTATCGTATATAAATCAGATCTTAAAAAACTATTTAACAATTTATTATAATAATATAAATATAATCATTTTAATAAATAACTCTATTTTAATAAGTTCTTTAAATATTCAATATTATTTTAACAAAAAAATATCAAATTATGAGATAATATTAATTTATCAAATTTTGAGTCAATTTATATTAGTAATTATTAAATTTATATTTATAGATTATATTAATTTTATTTAATATAAATTTTATATAATTTAAATTTATAAACTTTTATAAATAATATAAATATTTATAAAGTTAAACTTATATAAATTTTAATTATTAATAAAAAATTTTAACTTATATTATAATTTTAAATTATATTTTATATTGATAAATTTATAAATATTATTTAAGTAAAATAATATATATAATATTTTTATTTATTTTTATTTAAAAATAATTAATAAAAAATAATGTTAAAATATAATAATTATATTTTTTTACTAGTATAATTTAATTAAATATATAATAATTATAATTATTTTATTATTAGAATAATTCTGAATAATAGTTTTTAATTTTTAATATTTTTAAATAAAATATAATAAAATTATAATATAAGTTAAAATTTTTTATTAATAATTAAAATTTATATAAATTTAACTTTATAAATATTTATACTACTTATAAAAATTTATAAATTTAAATTATATAAAATTTATATTAAATAAAATTAATATAATCTATAAATATAAATTATAATCTTATATAAATTTATTTATAATTTTATATTATATAATTTATAGAAAAAAAATTATATAAAAAATTAAATTAATTTATCAGAATAAAATATATTGTCAATAAAACAATTAACCAATAATAACGAAGTTATGTAGATGATACATCTTTTAATCTAGAATTCTAAAAATACTGAGAATTCTGCGAATTCTAAAAAAATGAAGAATCTATGAAATTTTGCAGATCTTTTAAATACTAATAATAATTCTAATTTTACGAGTTAAATAAAATTTAAGAATATTTAATGTTATACTTATTTTTAATATTCTACCTTTTATTATTATTTTTATTATTTTATGTATACTTATTTTATTTATATTTTATTTATTAAATTAGTTAGTTTATAGTATAGTAATTAGTTAGCTATAATAAAAGAAATTTTGTATAAATAGATAAACTTTTGCCTATATTATAAATTAATTTTTTTGCAAATTGGTAAACTTACGAATTTTAATATTAATAAAGGAATCATTCAAAACTTATTTTCATATAGTTTGACATGATCTTTACATATTATTTATAATTGAGTTCATTATCTGAATTCTTTAATTAAATTATTTGTAATCTCATCTTTTAAGTCTTTATATTTGATAGATTCGTTTAAGTTTAAATATGTAGGTTAAGAGTTAGGCAGATCCTAATGTCTTAACCACAGTAACTACAGTTATCAATCTTGAGTATAGATTTAAGGGCATAACTAACCTGAGTTAAAGAATTCTATAGTGATAATATTTAATATTTAATAAGTATTATAAGAAATTAGATTTCTTAGATTCTTATTATTTTTATTATATTTATATTGTAAATTGAATTCTAACTTTGAATTTTTTTGAGTAAATTTTATAGTATTTATTAAAGAAATTAATTATAATTATAAAAATACTTTTCCTTTTAACAGGTCTTTTATTTAAAAAATTACTCTACTAATTTTATTTTTGAGTTTATTACTAACTTTATTAAATAATAATTTTAAATTCTAAATTAAATAAATCACAGGTTTTATTTAAGAATTTTAAATATTATGATTTTAAGTTTTAATAAATAGAATTAATTAGTATTGTAAAAATTTAAATATAAAGGATTATTAAATAAATATAATGACTAATAATGCTTATTAAAACTAATTTTTTATTGTCTTAAATTAGTTTAACCAATTTCAGATTTGAAAATTACCAAGTTTTATCAATTTTATCTTAGATTTTATTATAACTTAATTTTTTTTTAAAATATTAAAATATTTAAAATAAAATTTTATATAATTTTAAAGAAGTTGCATTAAATACTTTCTTGGGCCAGAATTATGTAATGCCAGTCACAAAGCGTGCTAAAATTCCGCTCAGTTTATATATAAAAGGAAAGCTATATGATTATTTTACATGTCATGCAATCTAAAATCTTTGAGTAGGGATATTCTAGAATTTCGGTCTTATATAATTGGAGTCTGCATCTTCAAACTACGATCCTATATATAAATAGAACTTGCGATCCTAAAATATAAAAAAAAAATACAAAATGAATCGATCAAAGATAGAATCATAAATTATGGAATATCGCTCAACTAGAACGATGAAGAATCGTTCTTCTTGAACGATTATGTATATTTTGTTTTTATAAAAGAAAATTTTAATATTGTTTATTTAAGATTGCGGTTCTAAAATCGTAAGTCCTAACATTTTTTATAGAATCGCACCTAAGGCCGCAAGTCCAATTTATATCCTAGGGCTGCAAAGTTTCAGCTATTCTAGAATCCAGTCTTAGAAGCCAAAATGGGTCTTCTTTTGGACCGGGAGTTTCAGGGCTGGACTAGATTTTAACATCCCTATTTTTGATATTACTAAAAAAAGCTACTATATTAAAATGAATTTTTAGTAAAACGAGTACAATTTTTATCGTTATAAGGCGGATTCTTTTATTAATGAAAAATGTTGTAATAAGTACCATTATTATTTGTAATACAAGGAGAAGTTATTAAAGTAAGGTTGAAATTCTGGTATTGGTAAATGGATGGTAAAATCATTAAGATAGTAGTAAGTAGAATTTGAAGAACTTACATATTTGCACGCTTCATTATTATTACTTCTATTATTACCCTACCTTTTAGTTCTAATTTTATAGTTTGTTTTGTCTGGCTTTATTGTTTTATTATATTTGCACAGTTTTACTGTTAAATATTGAGCACAGTACGTTAGAATTTAATTAAATGGTTACACAGAAACATAATTTTTACGATTCGTGTAACGATAATTGCATAATTTTTCAATAATGATATCTATCTACTGTATATGGCAGCGAAATTCGAATTCCCTAATTCAATAATAAAATAATACATACGCATAAATATACATACAGGATCCTAAATGATTATTAAATTATGTGAATAAATTCTGTTTTAGACACAATTGCTAGGACGAAATATGACGAAATCTGACGAAATAGGACGCAATTAAAATCGAAATTTAAGACTTAAATTATTTCTTTAGATTCAAAATATATTAGAAATATAATTATTTTTTTATTTTTTTTACAAAAAAAAAATATTATAAAACCGAAATTATGGACGAAATTGCTTATGTTTTTTATATATATTATATATTAGTAAATAGAGAAAAGATGATAATATAAAGATGGTTCGCTATTATGATTCGTGACGTGATTTCCCCCAACACCTATGAATATAGATACACGTATATAAAGTTTTATGTACATATATTTACAATAAATATCTTTTTTTTTTTAAAAAAAAAAAAAAAGTCTTATGCCGGTCTCAAAGTTATTTCTTAGTGATATGTGAAAGTTCGCTTACATATAATATGAAAATTCAGTGGTTAAAAAATTTTGTGAAGAGAATAAATTAGAACTCTGACGACTTTCTGTTGAAACATCAAATGTAACATCCGAATAATGTTCATTAAATAGATTATCCGTATTGATCCCAAGATTGAATTGTGGAGATGGTTGTTCCAACATCAAATCAATTTGTTCATCAAATTGTGAAAATATGGAAGGTTCAACGAAAAGTGGAATCGACGATTCAAAATCAATCAAATACTGTTCATCAGTCTCGGGAGAACCGATTGAAGATTCTGGACTTTGTAACCAATTTTTACATTCCGTAATTTTATTCGTTTCAAAAGATTCATCGAATTTCGTCTTTTTGGGAGATGGAATCATACATTGGGCTAATTCCTCACTATGATAATTCACGAACAGCGAATGAGAAGGTTTAGTTGAAACCTTCGGTAATATCAAAGGAGAAACCGCTGAAGTGATTATAGGACTTGGTACCGAAGGAATAGGTTCGGGTGATGAAACGGGTGATAAAAGAAATTGGTTATTTCGTGGCAACTTTAATTTATCCTTACAAGCAGATTTTTTGTGCTTGGCTGCTGTCGATTTGATCTTTATTGATTCAGTTCGAAGTCCAAATTTATCACCATTATCTTCAAAAGAAACGATGTTCCATTTTTCACGCTTACGACGACGAACAGATTTTGGCAACATATCGTTACGAAGGTTAAAAGTTTCCTTGGCGATTCGTTTATATTCGGCTTTAACATCATCAGGTTCTTGTTCCCAAGATTGAGAAGCCATTGAAGAGATAACCGTCATTGGTAAGTTGTATCCATCGGATCTAGCGGTTGTTATGAAAACTTTTCGATAAATGATAAAAGCGTTCGGAGCCTTGCACGAAATGCCTTTCTTCAATAGATCACGTGGTTCAATTGTCGGAGGAAATGGCGGTTTTATGAACGGTTGCGCGTGGTTGATCACTTGACTTGGCATTGAAGGATTACTTGAGTCGATGAAAACGCAAGCACGTGATGTTCGTTTATTGAGGGTATTTTGCTGAGCGGACATGTTTCACTCTTTTAAGTTCGAAATGAAAAAGATGAAATAAGTTTGCTAAATTGATTTTTTTTTTTTTTTTTTTTTTGAATAGGCAGGTAGGAAGAATTCAATTCACTTTTTTTTGTATGAATTTTTTTTTTTTTTTTTTTTTTTTTTTTTAACGCAAAGTGATGATTGTAAAATACTGGAAAGATTTGTGTGGAGTATTTATTTTGAATCCTGAATTTAGTTTAACCAATTTGGATGAATTTCAATGCCTATTTGAATTCCACAGAAGGTTTCTTCAACTTCAAATAAACAAAGCACAATGTAAACCAAAATGATGTGCAGCCGATCTATTATGGTGATAAGGGATTTGGAAGAATCTATTTTTAATTTTGCGGTATAAACACCTGCGGTATAACATTTTACTTGCATCTGAACAATGTTTGATGAGTTTTTAATTTTTCTAAATTTGGGACGAACAAAAACATTATTTTACGTATAAGGTTAATTGGTGTTATTTATATTTAATTTTATTTGCTCGTGCATAATTAGAAGGAATTTAATCTAAATACAATAGAAGAATCTTTGGTGTTACCAATGCGCCCAAATAACGCAAAAAACGCAAAAATGCCCTTTTTGCATTTGGATAATGCGGGAAAGAACGAAACAAACGGTTTTGTTGAATTCAATTTATGTAAAAATAGACCCTTAAGCCAAACATCTAGAAAAACGGTTATTTACGAATTTTGACTCATACTAATAACCAATAATGTCGAATTTTTATATGGTTGGAATTTACGCTATCTTCATCAAATGATGCGTTGATCTACGATTTGTTACATTTTGATGGTTAAGCCAAATCAGGCAACTTTGGCGCCTTAATCAATCTCCTAATTAGCTTGAATTATCACAATTTGCCGGGAAAATCTTTTCTTTCATATATATCTGATATGTTGTGATAATTGAAACAAACTTATCTCTTCGCGGATCACGAGATTATCTTTAAATCTACATGATGTCCCCACCCCGCCTTGTAACCTCTTTTAGAACAAAGAGAAAATATAATGTGTGGGATGATAAAGATCAAGCGAAAAGGAATTTTAAAGCCCTTAAACCATATAAAGGTCATCGGAGTAAGATGACCGATTGCTGAAATCAGGTTATGTCGTTGTTTACATTAGGATAATGGTCGTACAATAAGCATTCATAATCACATTTTTCGTCCATATGATCGAATTCAATTTGATGTTACTCTACCGTGAGATTAAAGTTAATTGAACCGTTTTTATTATTAATTTTATTTTTAGAATTTTGCCTCCGTATTACGTATTACATAATCTCTTTGATAACGCTATACAATTCCTGATTTTTTTTTTTTTTTTTTATTAAATTTAACATATTCGGAAGAGAAATTTTTTTTTTTTGGCCTCGTTTTAATCTTAACATGTTAAAGCCTTCATTAACAAAAGATATAATAAAATGTTTCAGGCACTGTTAATTATTGTTTAATTAATAAACATAAGAATAGGATGATACAAATATAAAAAAAATGTATAAACAATCTTAATTAACAAACAATTTTTAATTAATGACCGATATTGATTGTTTAAAACATGATATTATTGTATTTGAAAAGATTCTTTTTATCATATAGGTTGTTTTGAGCGTAGAAAATTGTTCCTGAAATGCTCATATTGTTATTATAAAAGGTTAATTGTTTCCTAATATGAACATTTTTCGAGTTTAAAGTTATTTAAAATCACATTCAATCAAATCAGTTACAAATTACACATGATAAGTTGCGATCACAAATAGAAATACTTAGCCAATTCGTTTTTATCGGATAAACAAAAAAAAAAAAAAAAAATAGATGATTTGTAATCAAATTTGCTAATTTTTTTTTTTTTAAAAAAAAAAGAACCAATATTGAAAGATTAAACGCGCTTGTTTCCGATTTCCGAATGGCGCAGTCCATCTCTTTTTTTTTTTTGTGAAATACAAATTTCGCAAGACGCGACAATAAAACATTATTTTATTGAAACTTTTCTTTTCGTATAATATATATTTAATTTGTCCTCAGCAAATTTGAAAAATGACCGAATAACTTCACGGAACCTTTGAAGCATAACATGATTTTATTCTTGAGAATCAGTCAACGTTCCTCATGTAATTTGACTGCCCCATTAAATCGTGAGAAAAAAATTATAAAAATAATAATCACCATGTGGAGTGTCACCACTTTCATAACAGCTCCTAAAACAAGTGCTTTGTAACTTTGCAAATATTAATGACCAACCTTGTTAAAAATCTGCACTGAATCAGAGTCATGCTGCTGCAATCCTGCGAAGGTTGTTAAAATAATGTAATGTAATCAACATTCTAAACTCTCGTAACATGAAACGAAATTAACTCGGACATACGATTATTTGCAGAGAAAAAAAAAATTTTTTTTTCTTTCAAAGTAAATTTAACACAGCCCGTTGCTAAATCTAAAAATACCGTAATTATAATTTCTTTTTATGTAAATACAATAATTTTTGTGTTGCTATGCTGTTTTGAAGATTTTCATAATTCAAAGATTGTGCGACCATTCAGTTTCTTTTTCTTTTTTTTTTTTTGTACAAACCGAAATGTGACAGCTGACGAATATTCGGGTTTTGACCATTTCGTCATAGCAAGCAATTAAACATGGAAAAATAATTCCGTTATCAATTTGATTTGTTCTTTTTACAACGTTTATCATCTAAAAAAGAAAGGAACAAGGGCATAAATTCCACTATTGGTGAAATGTTATTAACTTGTGGAGAGGTTTAAAAAACTTAAATTTTCCCATATCCGATATTACAAACAAAAAGTTTAAATTTAGATTTTTGTTAGGAATCAAGTTCCGATTTTTAAAATAACAAATACTCTTTTTCTTTTTAATATTTAAAAATATTTTCGGTCCTAATTTATTTTAACGTGTGTCAAAGATGTAATTCATATAAAGAGTACCCAATTAGAAGCAAGCTATATTTTGAAGGTGGCGTGTAAGGAATCGGAGAGACTCAAGCCATTCAATGCAGTTCGGAAAAGGAAATAAAGCGCATAACGAATACAGAATATCTGAAAATGTGGCTAGTTTCATGGAAGGTTATAATTTAAAATGAGTATTTGAAAAAAGCAGGATATCAGTAATACTTATTAGGAAGAACGGGGTTGTCCTTGCGCAGATTTTATTATTTGGTCATTAGGCGTGTTCCTTTTTTCTTTTAAAAAAAAGACTCTAAACGTACCGTGATTTACCTAAAAAAAAAAAAAAAAAAAAAAAAAAAAAAATAACTTACAGGTGTGATACAACATTATTTATCGCCCGATATTTTCAACATAAAATAATGTTTGCATCATCATTTTGTAATCAACATAATCCAATTTTGGCAATTAAGACTTTGATGCGAAAAAATTGATAAATACACCGGATCGTTCACCCTCTTCTTCCATTCTCAGAGCAAAATCGATTTTAGAAGATCAAATAAAATTCGAAAGCGATTACTTCATAGAACCATAAATAAAAGATGACTTTTCAAACGATATTGAAACGTACTCGTTCTTGCGTTTTTATCGACTCAAGTAATCCAAACATACACAATCGAGTTATTGACGGCTCTCAACCTATGATAACCCTTCCCTTCCCCCCTCTCATTGATCCAAATGATTTAGTCGTTAAATCTAGGGATGGTAAAATTCCGGCTCGTGTCCCAAATGCGTTCATAATTTATCGTAAAGTCTATATTGAAACCGCTAGATCTCAGGGGTACATCTTACCAATGACGGTCATCTCTTCGATCGCCTCTCGATCCTGGGAACGAGAGAGCGAAATTGTAAAAGCGGAATATAAAAGATTAGCCAAAGAAGCTTTTGACGTTCGTAATGAAATGTTACCCAAAGCAAATCGTAAAAGGAAGAGGGAGAAATGGAACATCGTCTCTTTTAAGAAATCAGCTGAACTTCGTAAAAGTCCCGCGCTTAAAGCTCAAAAAAAACCTGTCAGAAAAGCTCCGATACAAACTCCTCAATTCCCTTCTCCAATATCTTCACCGGAACCTCAATTCGATAATCCTAGTCCGGTGATTTCGCAAAATGAAATTATAGGTCCGCAATTTAACCTTGATTTCGTTCAATGTATGTTTCCAAGTCCCGAAATCCCCGAGGGAATGATTATAAACAACCGATCAAGTCCGGATTCTTCGATTATTAGCTCTCCGGAAATAAATGATCATTCTTATTCCGAATCATATTATCACAATTCAAATGAAATTCAGGAAGAAGGATCATTTAATTTAACAGCCCGTGCCAATAATTATCTTCAAACCGAACATCATTTAATTGATTATAGCGAGGACATTGTCAGTTTCAACGAATTCATAGTTGATCCGGAATATCTAGACATGTCTATCTACTCGGGGAATTATATTGATACTGAACCATCTTCTGGGTTGGGTTTTGATTTTTCTTATTATCTTTAAGGACCGATTTACATTCAATACCTTTTGAAATTAATTACTTGTAAACATGTATGATTATGCCTACGTTTATGCTTAAATTATGATGGTTATTTTTTTTTGCATTTATCTTCTATTTGTAAGATTTTATACATGAATTGAATTATGATATGTTTTTTTTTAAGATATGAAATTTATGAAAAGTTGACATGAATCAAAAGCAAACACGGACAAAGGATTTCGAATAATTATATATATATTTTTTTTTTTTCGCCTAAAAGTTCGTTATATCGAATAACGTAACTTTTCGATATTTAAGCCCTCTTAGATTATATATGTATATTATAATATTTACTGTAGATTAGATTATTAACTGTAATTTTAAAGTTTTTCCTGTAAGTTTTCTTTTCTTTTCTTTTCTTTTTTTTTTTTTTTTTTTTTTTGTTAGAAATTAAAATATACAGAACCAAAAATAAAAACATTATCTCTTTCGTGTAAACTTGTGTTTTCTATGTACGAAATTTGTTTTTCTTTTTCTTTATTTTACTCGTTTCCCTGTAAATTTTCGTTTCGAGATATCACATGATGACATTGATATTATGATTTGTCGATATGAATATCAGAAAAAGTTTTTTTTTTTTTTTAAAAAAAAAAAAAAAAAAAACTTTAAACGTAAGCCATGTATGTAAGCCCACGTAAGCCATGACCCTTTAAAAATTCATTAATAAAGAATTTGTAACAAACAAATTCGGAATTTCGGAATTTCGGCGACACAAGAAATGGAACCTATCCGACGATGGATGGTTTTGTGACACATTCGTGAATTGGTATTTTAATGAATGCGTGCGTTGGGATTTTCACGCCTTCATGTTCACAAATACATACACCGCGATAAAATAATAATAATAATAATAATAAAGGTAAAAATAAAAATACAAATATCGTAACTCATGGTGTGTAGTCACGTGGCTCTCATGGAAAATTCATAATCCTCACTTCTAGAGTTTGGACATTTCAGCAAACCCATGAGACATCCTGCCCTTTTATCCTTTGCTCTTTTTAAACATTTTATGAAACGACCTGTTTTGCTTGGCGAAAATTCCATAACCTTGCTTGGCGAATATTTCAGAATCCGACTTACGTTCATTATCTACAATCTGTAAGTAGCTTCGCATGTTGGAAAATTGAAAGAATGGACCTTCCACCACATTCCATGACTTTGGTTGACACGTCTTTTTTTTTGAAAAAATGTCATTTCCAACGTTTGGTTTGCACACCCCAACTTCTGATTCACAGATGCATATAATAGCTGAAGCGCAACATTGTAAACCTTATGATTCTTAAAGGTGATCTTCCACCTATTCCTTACGTATTCCGTTTGTAGAAACATTGTAACAAAAATGAACACGAAATTGAGAATTCAAACGTTACGAATCACGAATCTTGTCACGTGATCAACAAAGCATTGCGGATTAAGCAAGCATTTTTTTTAATTTAAACAAAACAAATCTTAAGTAAATATGATATCATCATCCGTTGGAAAACTCGGAGAATGTAACGCATTTATATTCACAGAGAAACTCACGAAAAAAAATAAAAATAAAAATAATTACGCCTTTTTTAAATATTTTGATTTGGCAGCACACGAATAAGGAAAACCATAAACGATTGGTGAGACAACTTGGCATGGAATTTTCTTTGGACGATTAGAAATAATAAACATTTTAACAACACGTTCGCGCCAAGTTTATCCAAGAACATAATAAAAATAAAAAATAAAAATAATGATAAAAATGATGCATATATGGCGTGGTTCAAATAAATCATTTGATAGGTTACATGTACAATTAAGTTACTCCCAAAAGGAAATGTCACCAACACAAAATTTAAAACGCCATAATCCTCTAATAAATAGTGTTGAAAGTGATGTCGTGATTATAGACAGGTACGACCAAAAAAAAAACAGGTTCCTTAACTCTATAGTCAATTCACATCCAAACGTTAACCGCGCCCACTTAGCACTGACACGTGTGACGGTAATCGCTAAGTTTGAGCAAGACAGAGAATCTCAAAGTAATACTCGATTTTTAACGGCCCTTGGCCGAATGGGAAGTGAACATTGTGATAAAGGTGAATTACCATTACAAATTTAAGTTTACATCCTTTTATCGGAAAAACTAAAATTATGGTAAATTACTGAAAAGGTTACATGGTAACACCCAAGGAAAAAATTTACGAAAAAGAAAAAAAATTCTCTTTGGGTCAAAACACTACGTAATTCACGTTACAACAAAACAAACATATAATATATTTGTTGCAGAAACCGTAATGCCTTGTAATAAATATGGATTTGAATCGTAACGAGAGAGAGTCTATAAAGAAATGACTTTCCAAACAAAGACTATAACAAGTTAAACAAACCATTCACGAGACGAGAACAAATAATTTTCGATCCTGTTTCATGTAAAGTCATTCCCACGTTTAATAATAAATAATGATTGTTTCATACATTCTTTCTTAAACAAGTTCAATAATAAGTTAGATTTGTTTATACACAGAATAAATTAAAATACCAAGATTTTTTTTTTTACTCTATAGCAAATTTTACACAACGTTGTATATTAATCCAAATTTGGAAAAAATTTATTATTGAGTATGGTGTATAGTTTTTTAGGAAAAAATGCAATTTGATTATCATTTCCTGTACGACATGTTATACTTGGAAACGTCAGGGGGAGATAAATGAGGCACAAGTGCAAAAAAAAAATTCTAGGATATAAAAACGCGATTTTTATTCTGAAAAAAATTTTCAAGATAAATTCAAAAAAAAACCAAAAAAAAAAAAAAAAAAATGTTATGATTAAAAAAAAAAAAAAAACATTTCGATTATTCGAAATATATGTTGATTGAAAGATTGTCTCTTAAGCATATGTGTAAAAAAAAACTTACATGTTTACAATTAAGATTCTTTTCTCCTTTTTTTTTTTTAATTTCGAAGAAAAGAAAACAAATTAATTTCCCTAAGAAAAAAATTTTAATAATTATAAATCAAAATTCATCCCAGAAGACGGTAAAGTTAAATTTCAGACCTTAATTCGTTGAAAATCCCTACATGATCTTTGGTCAAGCATCCAGATCTTTATGAAGCTTTGCAAGAAACAAGAACTTGACGATGTGATCTTTTTCTTTTTATTGGGAAACCACCCTTGCTCGAAACGCGTTTGCCTAATGGAGCGAAAAATCGATGAGTATAAGGTATATTACGAACAACGGCAATTTTTTTCTTCTTTCTTTTTTCTCAAATAATGATAATAATATTAATCCATCCCTTTACAATTTCTTAGAAAGACCAATTTCATACCAATCTTTTCTTAAGTTGTTCAATCCTTGAGCTATTTATGTATATCTTTGTATTTAAATTCTTTAAAATTATTGTTTTTGACTTTTTATTGTAGTCATTAGTAAATAGCTTCCGTATAAAATATCAAACTTTCGAATTCTCATCTTCTCATCATCGATACGTTATTCGATTGATAACCATTGATAATCGGAACGGATGCTCGACATATTTAATAAAAAAAGCTTATTCGTTGTTTCTCGCATGACTTGTGCGTAATAGACATAAATTAAATGATATTCTCGCTGTATATATTAGACAATCAGCACAACCAAACCGAGCGCATCTATTTATGGAAGGACACATGATATCAAATAATTACGTATTTTAATCTGATAAATAATAAATAAATGAACATTTTTGTTCATAAATATTGTTGGCGATAAGATTGTTTGTAACATGTGTTAAAAAATCACCCACAAATCCACTTCCTTGACCTTTATCACTAATCACTAATCACAACCAAAAACCAATTTTACAAATTAGGAGTGTTCACCAGATGCACGTGATCCTTTTTTACGTTTTGCTCTCAAAACATAAATAAGATCGACTAACAACAAAATTTGCCTAGACCAGATCTTCTCAAGGTTGATTTCCAAATAATTTTTGCAGATAACAATCATATCTTGAGATATGGACTTTAATATTTACCATATACATACAAGTAATTACTGAATTGGAGTGATCTTACCTAACAAAATCAAATTGACATATATGTCGAATATCAGATTCCCTTATAAACGTTTTTTTTTTCACCGTTTGACCGTTTTCATTGTCAAACTATTTTTAGTGATATGAGAAATCATCCAGTGGGGTCTGCATATTCACATGATTTGTACTAAGCCCTATTTAAATTAAAGAAATATCATTATTACAATAAAAGTTAGTATGATCGAAATGAAAATGGTCATCAACTATGACCTTATTATATAGTAAAAAATATATCTGCACACATGGGAAACAAAGTTAAAAAAAAACAAATTTTTTTTTAAAAAATGAAATGATCATTGTTTATGCATGATAAACCTGAAAAACATTACAGATATACTTATTATGATTAAAATTCTTTCTGCTGCAGTTATTTTAAATGAAACAATAATAAAAGATTTTTTTTTTAATAAATAAATTAATCATAAGTTCTTTTTTCGGTGGTAATTATTCTGCACGTACTTACCTAAATGTTTTTTTCGCATGGAATTTAAATTCATGTTTAAATTTAAGGTTGCATTGATTTTTTTTACGGTTTGATTATCTACTGAAAATATCTTTGAATGATAAAAAATCGAATCTAATCAAGTTCTCAACACCTACGATAAAAAAAAAATGCACAAAACCTTTTTTGTCCGAGGTAGTGCTTTGTGTTGATCTTTACGAGCCCGTTTCTTATCGGAGAGATAACATAAGTCGTCGCACGTGATTCAAAGATTTGGCCAAAATTAGTTTCTTTGATAGAAAGAAAGTCAATAAATTATAAAATTTAAAATATCAGTCAGTTTGCTTTTCGCGTGATGTAAATTCTTTTGCCGACATTTGTGCTCGGAACAAACTAGTGAATTAGGGCAATTCATAAATTTTATTCTTGAAAATCATACGATATCGGGACCATGAATTCACGAAAACTTTACTCAGGTTTATCAGACGATAAAAACGAAAATAATCTGGACAATTTTTCTTTTTTACATAATACGCCTATTATTTGGGCATTTTTATTTAAATTATATAGTTTTTTACAATGAATGAAAAATAAATTGCCTAAATGTCTTAAACTTATTCTTTTTATATTATTATTCGAGTTCAAAACGAAACAAATAAATCAATAATAAAAATAAATTGAAAAAAATATTTATATACACAAGTAAAATACAATAAAAGAAAAAAATAATTAATTTACAAATTACGTTCCAAGAAATCTTTTTTCTCCTCTTCCAAAAAAGATAATTGTTCATAAAACTTCATGAGCAACAAGAAGCAATTATTAATTTAATTGCAATATATTAGGTCCGATATTTCGGTTATTTCGCTGTCGTTAAATAAAGAAACGTTTTCATCCTTGGAAGGTTGTCCGATATATGGAAAATAATCCATTAAACTGTCTTCTCTTGAAAGATCATCTTCAATGAAATATGTTATGTAAGGTTCGTTAAAAGTTTGATTAGTCTGTTGTAAATAACACCAGTCAAGGTTCGATTCAGAATCGTTGATATTTGGTAAAGAGTTATCTGACAATGGTGGACTGAGTGGCAACTGTAATTTCATCTCATTTTGGATTTGTTTTTTTTTTTGCTTCTTGAGGTTTTTTTTACAAGGTTGAACTTGCACATCTCCAAACTTTTTCTTGTGCATCTTATTTGCATCCTGCGCGAGATTCTTGTACGCTAGTTTTACGTGCTTTGGTTCCCTTCTCCAACTGGATGCGATGATTCCCGATACTTCGGTCATCGAATAATTACGTCCAAAATTCTTTAGCTCGCGTACGTACGCTTGACGATATACGAAAAAGCAATTTGGCGCCTTCGACTTTACTACCTTGTTCTTATTCGGGCAAGTCGATAATTCTTCAGGAGTAATTGTAGGTGGGAATGGTAAAGTGATGGTTGGGTAATCCTGTATTTTCCTTTTATAAAGTGAAGGTGGAACCCTCGTCGTTCCCGGTCGACCTGGGTTCGTTTCAGGTACGAAAATGAATTCAGACATAACTAATAATAACGTGAAAAATAAAAAAATTTTTTTTCTATATATATATTTTCGTTAACTTAAGGATGTTGTTTGGTTTATTTTATTTTTTTTTTTTGTTTTTTTTTTTTTTTTTTTTTTTTTTTTTTTTTTTTTTTTTTTTTTTTTTTTTTTTTTTTTTTTTTTT